CTTTTATTAAATTTTAACTTTTTAGTTAACCTGTATTATTATTATTGTTGCTTTCTTTTCTATTGTCAATGGTGATATAATTGTTGCTGTTAATTGGTATTTACTATATGCTAACATCTACTTTTTGTCTTGTCATCATCATTAATGCAGTTTGTTTTCTCCTCTTTGAGTGGCTAGAGATCAAGCACTCAAAAAGAGGCTGCACACTAGGAACTTAACATGAATGTGGGAGAGCTGTGCCCACCCAAATGCACAAATCTTAATGTAGAAACAAGAAGTATGAAAAGACAAAGCAACGTGGCTCCTCGACAGGTTCATAACTCGTGAGTAACTGAATTCAAAGATATAGAAATGGATGAAATGCGGGACACAACCTTCAAAATACTGATCTTTCTAATTAGTAATGACTTCAAAGAGAAAACAAATAAACACATGAATGAATTAAGGAAGACAAGATGGGATATGAAGGAACAATTCAAAAAAGAGTAGATTCTGATGAAGAACCAAACAGAAATCTTGGGGGGAAAGTAAAATAAGTCAAATAAAAAATTCAGTGAAAAGTCCTTACCAAACGATTCAATCAAACCAAAGACAGAATTTCAAGGCTTGAACATGAGGCTGATGAATTATTATACTTACTAATAAAGAAAATATAAGAAATTATAAACAAAACATCTAAGAACCTGGAACACAGTTAAAAGGCCCAATTTGTGAATTTTTGGTGTAGAAAACAGTGCCAAGATTCAGACTAATGTCACAGAAGAACTATTCAATGAAATGATAACAGAAAACTTCCCATATCATGGGAAAGATATGAACATCCAGGTACAGGAAGAATTCAGCATCCACAAAAAGGAGTGACCAGAAAAAAACCTACACACATCACATTATAGTCAAAATGTCAAGAGTATAGAAGAGTATGTGAGGGTGATCTGGCTGCAACATCTGTTATCCCACTGATCTTCAGGGTTGATTCTGCTGATATGACTGACTAGACAGGTGTCCCCATCCTCCCTCACCATTCCATGTGCATCCCTCCTGAAGCTGTGTGTTCAGCCAAAGAGGATGACCACCCCCAACAGAGGAGGACCATTTCCTCAGTCAAGGGTACACGAGTAGCTGTGCTCCCCTGCTAGAACCTCCAAACAAGCTCTTAAGAGTACATAAGAAAGAAAGAACACTGAATGCTGCAAGGGAAAGCTGCCAACTTACACATAGAGGGAAACCCATTGAAAGAACTGCAGATTTCTAAACAGAAATTGTAAAGGTAAGAAGCACATGGAAAAATGTATTTAAGAACCTGAAGAAAACAATTGCCAGACTGCATTATTATATCCATCAAACCTATCCTTGAGAATTGAAAAAGAAATACAGAGCTTCCAAGATAAGCATAAAATAAAGAAATTCATGATCACTAAGCCAGTATTGCATAAAGGAATTCTACACATTTAAAGGAATGCTACACACAGAAGAAGAAGAGTAGATAAGCTATTGGTGATTAAGAAAAATCAAACATTAGAAGCAAAACAAAATCACAGAATTTAGTACGTATCTTTCAATAATAATTGACTGTAAATGGTCTTAGTTCTCCAATTAAAAGATAAAGACTGGCAGATTGAATTAAAAACAAGATCCAATTCTTTTCTGCCTACAAGAAACACACCTCAGTAGCAAAGATATATGTAGGCTGAAAATAAAAGGATGGAAAACAATATTCCATACAGATGGAATCTGAAAACAAGCAGGAGTAGCTAAACTCATATCTGACAAAGTGGACCTTAAGACTAATGAGAAAGATTAATGAGTGGGCTTCAAAATTAATGAGAGAGACAAAGCAGATCATACCATCTATGGGTAAAAGTAACAATACATCAAGAAGATATAATAATTGTAAAAATATATGCATCAAACATTGGTGTGCCCAATTTCATAAAACAAACACTACTTAACGTAAAGGAACAGAATGGTGCCAATACAACAGTAATGGATGACTCCAAGACTCTACTCTCACCAACAGATAAGTCATCCAGACAAAAAAAAATCAAAAAAGAAACATCACAGTGAAACTATGTCATAGATCAAATGGGTTTAACAGACAACTACAAAACATTCATCCAACAACTATACAATACATATACTTTTTAACAGCTCATGGAACATTTCCCAAAACAGATCACATTTTAGGCCACAAAGGAAGTCCTAACAAGTACAAAAATGTAGAAATAATTTCTTGCATCTTACCAGATCATAATGGAATGAAACCACAAGAGAAACTATGCAAATATATGGAGATTAGACAATTCACTTTTCAATGATCAATGAGTCATTAAAAAATCAGGAGGAATATTGAAAAATTTCTAGAATTAAGTGAAAATGGAAACAAAACACACCAGAAACTCTGAACTACACACACTGAAGGCAGTTTTAACAGGGAAGATATGAATGCCTACATAAAAAACTCAGAACCTGGACAACATAGCCAGACAATATTTCAAAGAAAGAAAAAGAAGAGAAAAAAAGTAAAGAAAAGGAGGGAGAAGAAAAATAACTGATTATTACAAAAATGTAAATTGGAACAACAATGAGGACATTTCATTGCCATTAGGATGGCTATTATCAGAGAAGGTGAGGCAGTCCCAGCACCCAGAAGGAGGCTCCCCTGCTGCCATCCCATGTTCCTAGGGCAGAGAAGGTGAGCCGGTCCCAGCACCCGGAAGGAGGCTCCCCTGCCATCATTCCAAGTTCCTAAGGCAGAGAAGGTGAGCCACATGGGCCCCAGAAGCACCCCCCACCCCTGGTGGAAATGAGAAGACACGTAAACAAGCCTCAAAAACAGACTTCCGGGTCACCTACAGCAACCACAAAGGGCAAAGAGATGGAACAATCTAATACTCAAACACCTGGACTTTCAGAACTGCCAACAAAAGAGGATCTGGGAAAAATGAAATCAGAAATAATTACTCAGATAACA